GGGAAAAGAGCACTATTAAAGCATCTTTCCTAGGTCGAACCTTTTTTTATGGGAAATATAGCCTCGTTGTTGCTGAAAGAAAAAAAAAAAAAAAAAACTTCTACAGTAACATGTAACGGATCTTGAGTTTTTTTTTTAATGAGTGAGTGCCATTTTTTTTTCTATCTACTGCAAAAAAAAAAAAAACCATCTGAGGACTGAAAAAAAAGGACCCTTCTTTAATGGGAAATATAACTATGCTGTTGCTGCAAAATATATATATATATATATATATATATATATATATATATATTTGCAGTAACACAGAAAAGCTAGGATATGTCGATGGATACTCGTTTTTTTTTAATTAGTGGATCCAATTTTTTTTGTCAGACTTGTGTAAAAACATTTGGCCTAGCATAGCCATTTAGTCTATATAGACTCAAATTAAAAGTCTGATTTTATCTATATTTAAAAAATAAAAAATTTGACCTAGACCTGTTAGCCTATTCAAGCCTTAAACATTTAATAATAATAAAATAACTAAAATAATATTACTTTTTTACTTAAAATTAATAAAATATTTATTTTATTTATTTTATTTAAAATAAATAATATGATATAGACGGCCTATCAACTTATAGGCCCGACATGTACAAAAAAGCTTATGGTCTGCTAAATAGGTTTTTTAAAGGCCTAGTTCTGTTTTATTTGACTATTTATAATAGGTCAAGTCAGACCTAACATAGGCTAGGCTATAGGCCCCTATAGGCCGAATTGGTCCATTTACACCTCTGAAAGCATGTTTATTTGGATCCATATTAGTTGGAGCTCAATAACTTACATTATCTTTAGAGTTTTCTAAGCTGAAAATAACATTGTTAATCATTCCAAATTTAATATCTCTTGGTATAATACTTTAAATATCTCTCAAACATTTTCTCTCAAACCTATAACCTCCTAACATGTCAAGAAATTAACATCAGTTAATACTTTAACATAATCATTGAGACGATAATTGTTGACGATATCTACCCATCAACGGGGTGTTGTCATTGATTATAGTAGTTGACGTCGACAGTAGCGACGAAGACCACTATTGAAGATAAGCTTCTTCTGTTGGACAAGTGGCTTCAATACTCAAGAGGGGGGTGAATTGAGTTTTACAAAATCTTTTCGCAAAGTGTCTCCTTTGATATTTTAAAGAGTGTTTCTTCAATAAAATGATTTAATAAGGAAAAAATCTAAGTGTGAGAGCAAGTGTGAGATCAAAAAGGTAAACTAGCAAATAGATAGATACACTCTAAAAATGCAATTTCAATACTAAAGTAAGGAGTTTAAGGTTAGAGAAATTGCAAACTAGATGTATCCTGATTCGGTCACCACCACCGTGACTACGTTCAGACTGAAGTCACTCGATCAATCTTTTTCACTCACTATCAAGCTTGAGGGTGCTTGACAAACCACTACAACCTTTCAAGACTTCGGGCTCTTGATCCCTTACAATTTTTTCTCTCCAAATTTTCTTAGGAATTTGGTGACCTCTCAAGTGCAAAGGGTTCATTCCCCTAACTATTCAAGAAATCAAATGGAGATGTTTAATAACGGGTAAGTACTCTCAAAGTACAAATTATACAAGTTGAAGAACTATGGGTGTTGACACTCTCACAAGAATAAAGCTCAAAGAGAATTTATGATCAAAATGAATGAGAATAAGCAAATGATATGATTTAATTCAAGAATTATGATCAACAAGAGTAGTTAAATCAATAGAACAATAGTATCTATTTATAGAGGGCCTCATGAGCCTTTGTACAGCCCTTTTCCCAAAACTAGCCGTTTATAGCCGTTATTTTTGTCCTCTGGTACAAGAGGGAATCAATAACTTTTCCAGAGAGTGGGAATCGATTCCTGCTCATAAGGAATCGATTCCCAACCTGTTGGAAAGGTTGAAAATACAATCATAAGCATTCTTCTTCATTTTAAATCCATTTCAAACATGTTTAATTGCTTGATTGAATATTGAAAATATGTTTTTATAAATATGTGATGCTATAAATCCTTTGTGTAATCAAATGATGATTTAATGCTTGTACTTGAACATAAATGTTTCAAAACCTTAAATTTGACAGGGTGTAGTGGCCGCACAAGGATTCAAATTAAACATCATTTTAAAATTAATAACGTTATGTTATTAGGGAATGGATACACTTACCATCATAAAAGTTTACTACTCTTATAACTAACTTAATCACCGTTAATTTCTGTCAATCTAACTGTTATAATTTTTTGAAAATTAATAACATTTATTGGGTCACATATTATTAATTAATCATTAATTCTTAATAAATTATAACCGTTAGATTGACAAAAATTAATGGTAATTAAATTGATTGTAAGAGTGATAATTTTTTTTATGGTAAATACATACGTCCCCAATATATTTTTAACAAAACTTTAAGCTGATACTAAACGAACTAGTACCAAATTATAAGACTTATACTTGAGAACTGTATATTAATCTATTAGTTGTAATTCAGAACCGTGTTGTGGGTTTCATTATTGTCACAAGTTGATATATTATATACTCTCTTCAAGGTCTAAAATCTTAAATCTGAAATAGATTTTTCAAAAAATTAACTAAGAAGCCAGCTGTGTGGGGCTGTCATCACGCACTGGTTTGAGTATATATATAATCATCACACACTGGTTTGAGTATATATATATATATATATATATATATATATAGGGATAAATAAGAGTTATGTTGTAGGAAAAATAATTTAGTTATGTTAAGATAAGACAAAACAAAATCATTGAAGAAAGTGTCTTATCATGTTTTTTTATTATTATTAATTTTTGTCTTTTAGTATTACATGACATCATGTAACATGATAAAATAAAGACCCATATATATATATATATATATATATATATATATATATATATATATATATATATATATATATGAAAAAAATGAAAATTCAATCACTGGACCGTCCAGTGCACTAAGTTCTTTTGCGAGAACATATTGCTCTAAATATTATAATGGTGTTCTCCCGGGAGAACATAGTTATAATATTTACTAAAATTGTGTTCTCGCAGGAGAACTTAGTGCACTGGACCAAATTTTCTATCCAATCACTGTACACTCACTAAACCATATATATATGGAAGATGTTATATTTACAACCCAAATAGTTTACAAACTTTTATAACCATATCTTAACCGTTGATTTTTGTCAATCAACGGTTGTCATTTATTGTGAATTAATAATTAATTAATAAATCTGATTTGTAAAAATCTTAAGATATAATATTTACTATAACTGTGTTCTTGCGGGAGAACTTAGTGCACTGGACCAAATTTTTTATCCAATCACTGTACACTCACTAAACCATATATATATATATATATATGTGTATATGTGTATATATATATATATATATATATACACATATATATATATATATATATATATGTGAGATTTTATATTTACAACCCAAATAGTTTACAAACTTTTATAACCATATCTTAACCGTTGATTTTCGTCAATCAACGGTTGTCATTTATTATGAATTAATAATTAATTAATAAATCTGATTTGCAAAAATCTTACCGTTGATTGACGGAAATCAACGGTTATGATATGGTTGTAATAGAGGTGTCAATATGGGTTGACACGACACGAATTTGACACGACACGAATTCGACACGACACGAATATATCAACACGAACACGACACGAATTTTCATTCGTGTCAAAATCTTCAACACTGACACGACACGAATTTTTTGCGGGTTGACACGACACGACACGAATAACACGCAAAATAGGGGGCAAAACGGTAATGGACAAAAAAAATTAAAAAAATAGATCGAAAATAAATAAAAAAATAAAAAATAATAATAATAATAATAAAAAAATAATAATTAAAAATAATACGGGTCGACACGAACACGAATTCATAAACACGAACACGACACGAATTTTTTGAGTGTCATTTTTTTCAACACGAACACGACACGAATTTTTTTACGGGTCAACCCGAACACGAATTTTCGTGTCGTGTCGCGGGTCGATCCGCGTGTCAAAACCCATATTAACACCCGTAGGTTGTAAGAAGTCGTAAACGAATATATGTTGTAAATATAACATTTTTCTATATATATATATATGAAAAAAAGTATTTAATATTATTTTAGAGAATTTTGTCTAATATTTATCGAAACGATCTTATTTTGGAGTTGAAAATTTAAAAAATTAGAATAATAAAAATTATTATAACCCTAAAATAAATTAAAATTACAAATACATCATGATTTTTTTTCCCAAAATGATATTATTTCGGTGAACATTACATAAAATTGTCTAAAGTAACTTAAAAAAAATGAATTATATATAGTTGAATAATTGGTCATATTTCTCAACTTGTCGTATCTATGTAAATGCTTTTTTTTTTTTTTTTTTTTTGGTAATCATATAAATGCTTGCTTTTACTTGCGGGGATTATAGGGATACACAAGGAGTTTATCACGTTGTAAAAAGATAATTAGGGTCATAAAAGACAAACAGTGATCTTTTCTTTTTTGCTTTTTTGGAAATTACAAACAGTGTTCGCTAGTCGTTGGTTCTTGCGTAGTCTGAAGATAGTAACGCTTACCTTCGCTCCTACCAACTTCATTAATTAATATTAATTTACTCCCTTATATTATACAAGATAACACAGATGGACAATTCATCAGAGTTGACTACCTTAATCAGAAGATTCAGAACGCGTCCTTTTTAATTAAGGTCTTCAATATATTTTTTCTGCACCCCTTTTTCTTTTTCTCCTTGTGTGATGAGCTTTCACTTCTTTCATTTCTTTCATTTCTCACCAAACAAAGTCTTTTTTCTGTTCTCTTTTGTCTGCTTAACATGTTTCTCCACCATTCTTTCCTCATCATCTAGTTTACATCTGTTCCTGCCACTTAATTGCTTCTCATAAATTCTGAGGCTTTTTTCAGTCAAATCAGAAGCATGAATACAAGTTTCCGTCGTTTCTTCTTCCCCTTGTTCCTTGCTGCTTTTTGCTTTGCCTCCTTAGCTTTTGGTGCCACTCTGTCTAAAGATGAAGGTATTTCTGTAAATAGCTTGCACCGGTTAGAAAACACTCTCACAATCAGTCTTTTGCTTTTTGTTTTGGTATATGTATACACAGAGATAGGTTATTTCAATTATACTGGTATAAAAATAAGGGATTTGCATCTATCATTTTATATGGCACAAAAAAATTTCTTACACACATAATATTTTGTGAGATCTGCACATTTTTTGAAGCAAAAAAAAATAAAAAAAATTAAGGCATGCAAAACGAATCTCTATAACATTAGACAATTATTTTTTCTACAACATAACTCTTATAAAACTCTAAAAATAAAGAATTTTATAAATATATTTTTATTATTGATTTAATGATTTTCATAATTGAAAAAAATTAAAGCTCTCAAATATAAGTAATATCAACGAAGATTGAAAATGTAACTTGTATTATTGTAAAATGACTGTGACTCATATATATATGACTTGTTTTTTGTATTATAGTGCAAGCTTTGAGAGGTATAGCTAAGACACTTGGGAAGCAGGATTGGGATTTCAGTGTAGATCCATGCAGTGGAGAAAGTAACTGGACATCATCTGTTCAAGTGAAAGGGAGCGAAAATGCTGTCATATGCAATTGCTCATTTGTCAATGGCACCCTCTGTCATATCACTAACATGTATATCTCTCACTCCTTTTCTATGTTCTTGAGATATCAACTTCAAAGGTGTGGTTGAGTAATTATGATCAAGAAATTTAGTTAAGGGTATCAATTAGATTTCAAAAATGAAAAAAAAAACTTTCTTTCAATTGAGTAAATTTTTAGTACTTGTGTAATTAATATACAACACACACACTTAAATTAGAAATAAATGTACTTACCTACCTGCATTAATAATGAAAATGAAAAGTCAAAAAAAGAATCTAAATTTACTTAGTGAGTCTATATTTTTAACTTAAATGAATGAAGTATAAAAGTATTAAACATAAACTCATTAAATTCTTCAGTTTTTCTCGGAGTTTGAAAGAAAATATCATAAATTAATTTCAAAAAAGAAATCATAAATTCATTTATATTTAATTAAAAGAATTGTGGATTAAAAGTACGTAGTAAAAGTCCAAAACGTTACGAAGGTCCACAAGTTGGTTTTGTCAACTTTTATAGCTGCTTGATCCCTAGGCCGTACGGAGTACAGATTGTACTGTTTAATGAAAATGCACTATTAATTTTTTATTACCTAAATATTCTTTTAGGTCCCCGACAAAAAATACGATTTCCAATTTAGTCTTTTACAAAAAAAAATTAGTCGTCTAGTCGCTATGAAATTTAAAGTGGACTCATTTTAGTCCCTTTAAGGGACTAATATGAGTTTTTTTAAATTTGTGATGAACTATGATTTCAACTAAATGGATCCACCTTGAATTTCTTAGTAACTTCAAGAGTAATTTTTTTTTGTGAGAGATTAAAATGGGAACAATATTTTTTGTTAGGGATTATCTACTCTTTTTATTTGACTTTTAAGAAGCCGTGTCTTTTAATTTTTTATTATTATTTATTTTTTTCGCATCTTGTTTGTGTCGGTTTTTGACTTGTCTATTTCTCCTACTCACTATAAATATAAAAAATAATTTTGAAATAGTCTTATTCAGCATGCAAGGCTGGCGTACTTATCCATATCAAAGTGTGAAACCAACTTTTTGCCAAAAAAAAAAGTGTGAAACCAACAGTACTGAACCACTGTTATTTCTTATTTTAGGAAACATTTTTTGTTTTTAGGGGAATATAGAAATGCAAGAACATGAAAGGGGGTTGGTCACAGATTCAATTTCTAAGGCTAGTTTTATAGACTAGGGTCAGTAATATAAAGTTTAGTCAAACAAACTCATTAATTGCTTTATTCAAAATATCTGTAATATCGTCAATAACTATATATATAAAGTTTAAAAATTTCACTGTATAATATATGTTTAATTAACTTGATTTTTGCGTTAGAGTTTCCTAATTTTGTTCACCTCTCATAACACATACAAATATCTAACACTAATTTCAATGCATTAATAATCGGATTAATTTAATAGAAAACCACAGATTTTTTTTTTCTTTACATTAGGAGTTAATTTTATTTTACTGGAAAATGTTAGTAAAATAATTTAAAACTTGCTGAACCTAATCGTTTAATTTGATGGCTTCTTTAGGGCCCAAATTTGCATGTACTTACCACTCTAAGCCCAAAGAACAAGAGCTTAAATTGAATTTAAGTAAAAAAAGAAAAAGAAAAAGAAAAAGAAAAAAAGAAGAGCTCGTCGGGTCCAAGTTTTTAAATTTAATTTAATTTAATTTTCTGTCATGAATTGTTATAATTCAAAAAAAAAAAATGTTAAAATTTGTGGTACAATCTCGTCATGATACATAGTTAGATGATAGTTTCAGAACAGATTAAAATTAAATACTTTTTTTTCTTACTATTTTTATAATGTTTATTTTTTAAACCATTTTCATGGTTAAATGAACGTGTAGACTTTTGAAACAACAAAATCTCCCAGGCACTCTTCCACCGGAACTGATCAGGTTACCTTACCTTCAAGAAATGTATGTAATTCTCAAACTTTGCTTACATTCAGGGAACTTATTTCGTTTTTTCAATTTTATATATATATATATATATATATATATATATATATATATATAATTTTTCATGAAACACTCTTTCTCTCTTTGTTACAGTGATCTCACTCGCAACTACCTGAACGGTACAATTCCTAAAGAATGGGGTTCTATGAATCTTGTAAACATGTAAGATTTCTTTGTCATTTTTATTATTATTTCTATATAATATATGATCCTACATATGGGTCTCATTTTATAATCTTCATGCAACAAGAAGCTAATGACAATATGTTTCTAATTAATCATGACAGTTCTCTCCTTGGGAATCGATTAACGGGTTCAATACCAGTAGAGATAGCAAACATATCCACTCTCCAAAGTTTGTGAGTTTCTCATTATTCTCCTTATTAGCAATTGAATTTTTTCTATTTGTTACCATCTCCCCCCCCTATTTCATATGTGTATGTAACTATGTATTCAACTCAAAGAGTTTTAGTGGAACTTAATTTTAGATTGAAATGGATATATAGGGTCTTGGAGACCAATCAATTATCTGGAAATCTTCCTCCAGAGCTTGGGAATCTATCACAGATTCAAAGACTGTAAGCACTTTATTTCATTTTCCATTTACGCCCCACTATGTTAATACCCTTTGGCCATTTGATTTGCTACATTGATGTTTTCTCTCCAAATATGAAAGACCAATGTTTGAAATCTATTTTGACTTCCATGCCTTAGATTCATCATTTATTGTTGTTGTTTTTGTCAATTATATTTAGTCTACTTTCCTCCAACAATTTCATTGGAGAACTACCAGTAACATTGGCCAAGCTCACTACATTGCAGGATATGTAAGCTTCATATTTTTATTACACAATTTGAGTAATTACTAACTTAAATAATATTGTTTTTGAATTAATAGTAACTTGTCCTTTTTTTATACTGTCTCACAATGCAGTCGAATTGGGGATAATCAATTCTCTGGGAAGATACCTGATTTTATTCAAAGCTGGACAAGTCTCCAAAAACTGTATGAAATCTCCTCCTTCTTTTTTTTTAAGTCTACTTTAATTGTTTGAAATACACTATGTCTTATTTACTTTGACAGAATTATTCAAGGGAGTGGATTAAGTGGGCCAATTCCTTCTAAAATTTCACTTCTGCAAAACTTGACAGACTTGTATGTATGATATTTTATATAGTAAACAAAGTTTCAAAATTAACTTTCATTTCAATTGTATTTACTTAGCTACGATTTTAATGTAATATGCAGGAGAATTAGTGACCTGAATGGATCTGAATATTCTCCTTTTCCACAACTTAGTAATATGAGATTAAAATATCTGTGAGTTGAATGCTTTGATCCTTTCAGAAATAGAAAATCAAAAAAGAAGTAGAAGAGGTACTCATGACCTATTGCTATCTATGTTATTGTTTCACAGGGTTCTGAGGAATTGCAACATTAATGGAACACTACCTGCATATCTTGGGACGATGACAAGCTTAAAAAACTTGTAATTTCATTCTTTCCCATTTTGTTTGGTTGCAACTAATGGTTAAATTTTCTTGTATTATGTTTAGCTTATTTTGTAACCTTTAACATTCTTGTGTTTTATACTTGCTGCTTTGACGAATGTCACTTTAATACAGCTCTCAATTCTATTAAATTGCACGATTTTTTTTTATATGACCATTTTCGTCTACAGTTTCTAAACTCATTCTCTGTTTAATATCTCTTTCAGAGACCTCAGCTTTAACAAATTGAGTGGACAAATTCCGAGTACCTATGATAGCCTAAGAAAAGTGGATTACATGTAAGAAATTTATCATACTTTCCAAGTAGTCCTCAATAAATGATAAGCTGTATATATTAATTTCTTGATATTCTTTTAATGTAGATATTTAACTGGAAACCTTCTCACTGGACCAGTGCCTGCATGGACAGAGAAAGCGGATAACGTGTGAGTTCTCCTTCAAATGCTTACTTATATGGTTCCTTGGATTGAACAATACATATAATTTCTGTGGCAGAAATGCTAGAAAAAAAATCATTCGTTCCTTTTTTACCTTTCTGAGTGGACTCTTTGTTTTTTCTTCCTTTTTTTTAACTGGTACATAAAACATCCTTCTTAATCCAATTTCATTCAGTTGTCATTTGTTTATGGCATGGTTTATTGTTCCCTTCTAGTATTGGTTTAGTTTTCTCACCTACATTTAAATGGCAGAATTAGAAAATTTTGTGAGAGGAGGCGATAAATTCAAAATTCAAAATTCAATTAATTAAGTAGGGTAATACAATAGTAGATCTATACACAGCTAAATTTGAAAAAATCTCCAATTTTTTTTTTTTTGTAAGGATGAATGGAGCGAACTTATGCTACACAACCTTTCTTTTTAATTCTGAATGTAGTCTAAGGCAAAGCTGTGATAAATTTGAGGGGACAATCACCTCTCGTAGCCTCTCCCCGGCTCCACCACTATAGACTTCTCTACAAGGGAATCTGTGGAACTTTTATGCTATTGGATTTTCATTATTTCTTTAGAGCCCCCTAATGTTTCATTAAGTCTCTTTGATATTGACCTATTATTAGATTCTAAATCAAATTTTATGACTTGTATATAGAGATATTTCATATAATAACTTCAGCATCGGAAGCCAAGGAAGTCAGACATGTCAAGATGGAAATGTGTAAGAATCCTTGCATTTGTTTGCAAATATATAAGAACCTATCTGAGTCATAACCTTCTCTCAAATGTCACAGGAACTTGTTTGCTAGCTCTTTGACGCGCAATGACTCGTAAGTTTGGGTGTTTATGCATGCTGAATTATTTTTATGTCATGTATATATCTTTTCATTTCCCTTACTATCAGGGGAATATTATAATGATTATGATAGGATTATGCTAACTTATTCTTTCATTTCCATCATTCTCAGAGGAACGGTTTCATGTTTGAGAAGCTTTGTCTGTCCTCAAAGTAAGTTTCTTTGTAGTGAATTTCCTACAGATTGCAAAGATCTCCATATTGCTTTGGCATTTAAAGCTTTTTTAAAACCCTTTTACGGTTTCAAGAGGGGGACCACAGACTACAATGGTTGAGCCAGAAAATTTTGAGAGAGTGAGAAATTCAAAATTCACACCAAGTTAGGCAGGGCAATACAATATTGGGTCTATAAGTAACCAGATGTGAAGAACTCTCAAAAGTTTTCCTCTAACATGAGAAGTAATAAGAATGTAGGGAGACAAATTTATGTTACACTTTTTTTCTTTTTGAAGTCTGAATGTAATTTAAGACAAAGTTTTGACTTGAGGTGGCGATCGCCCCTCCTATACTGTCAATGGCTCCACCACTGCTTGCTGAACTCCTTAGCATAGGAGTCTTGTTGGTTGGAAATCGCAAATGGCTAGTTATCTTCTCGTTTGTCTTGCTTATGAATCTGGTGCCAATCTTTGAGCATGATTTAATCAACTTTGTGTGTCATTGAATACAGACTTTCAGTAGCTAGAAGTCATCATATTTCTCTGACTAGCTAAAATTACATGACTTAACATGACTCCCTCCTTTCATCTTCATTTCCAATAGGAAAGAAAAGGGATACTTAGACGGAGAGAAAATACAAAACTAGAATTTGAAGGAATATATTTTTCATATGTCTTGATAATATTTCAATGGTTGCTCACTTTATTCTGCTTGTCCCAGCCTCATACTCTCTTCACATAAATTGTGGTGGGAAGCTGGTAACATTCAATGGAAGCACATATGATGATGATTTAGATGCAGCAGGACCAGCTAGATTCCACCAGAGTGGAACAAGAAACTGGGCATTTAGCAGCACTGGTAACTTCATGGATAATGATGGTGGAGACTACTATACTTGGTCAAATAAGTCTAGGCTTCCTATGGTCAATTCTGAACTGTACATGACTGCACGAGTTTCTCCCATTTCTCTGACTTACTATGGATTTTGCCTGGGAAATGGAAACTACACGGTAAATCTACATTTTGCAGAAATCATGTTCAATGATGATCAAACATTTAACAACCTAGGAAGGCGTGTATTTGACATCTACATTCAGGTACATGATTTAATCTTTTTTAATCTTTGTCACTAGTGTGTGCCATATAGTAAAAACACCTTTAGTCAAGTGGTCACTAGGTTATGTTAGGGACATCTTTTAATTTTTTTCTCATTCGGTGCACTGAACTAGCGATAAAATAAAACAACTGTCTATATGAGATCCGACCCCAATCAATTTGGGATTAAGGTGTTATTGATATAGATGTTGTTGTTGACGTCGAATACTTATAGCATCTCATTTAACAAAATGACAATTGTAGAATTTTTTCTACTCAGTAGTTCACTAATTTGACTACATGCACAAAATCAATTGCTACACTACTTTTTAAACAATTTGAAGACTGCAATATTTAAGGCCTGTAATCATCATGAAACATTAAGATTCTGATTCAAATGTTGCAGGGAAAGCTAGTGCAGAAGGACTTCAATATTGCAGAAGAAGCAGGAGGAATTGGTAAGGCAGTCACAAAACCATTCACTGCTGTTGTGACTAGTAATACCTTGGAGATCCGTTTATATTGGGCTGGGAAAGGCACAACTGGTATCCCATTTAGATCAGTATATGGCCCTCTGATATCAGCTATATCTGTGGATTCTGGTGGGTTATACTTCTCTGTAAGTTCTTAATCTCATGCTACCATCTTGATGTTATCATCTAATGTGTAAAGCTCTCTTATAATAATCAAGCAGACTTTCCACCTCCCTCGGAAAATGGAAGCAGCATATCTGCAGGAGCTGTGGTTGGAATTGTGGCTGCAGGAGCAATTATTATCATCCTGGTATTTGGTACACTTTGGTGGAAAGGCTGTTTTGGAAAGAAAAACACGTTAGCAAGAGGTGATTGAAATAAATTACTTCTGTGGTTATGATTACCAAAATTTTTGCTGGAACACATGGTTTTTTCATGTGCTAAAAAATGAACTTATTGCATGTAGAGTAACTTAGTATGTTTGAGTATGTACCTTAATTTAGTGTATCCTGTTAGTGGACCTTCGAGGCTAGTTAATTATCTTGCTAAGAAGGAAGTTGCAGGCTTGCAAGATATGGATTGTTGTCACTGGGTGTTCATGTGGAATTTTCACAGTATAAGTGATCTCTGATCTTTCTTTTACTTCAATTAACAGAGCTAAAGGGTTTAGACATGCAAACGGGTCTATTTACCTTAAGACAAATCAAAGCAGCAACAAACAACTTTGATATTGACAATAAGATTGGAGAAGGAGGATTTGGTCCTGTGTACAAGGTATTTTGCATAGTATAACAAATTCTCCTGATTTTCATACATATGTTTTATGATTTTACCTGTTGCTTTTTGAAATTTCTATTTCAACATTCCAATAACTATATAGCATTTCTCAAAATGAAGGGATTTCTATCAGATGGGACAATAATAGCGGTCAAGCAGCTTTCTTCTAAATCAAGGCAAGGGAATCGTGAATTTTTGAATGAGATAGGCATGATTTCTGCTTTGCAGCATCCTTGTCTTGTTAAACTCTGTGGATGTTGTGTGGAGGGAGATCAACTATTGCTGGTATATGAATATATGGAAAACAATAGCCTTGCTCGTGCTTTATTTGGTAATTCTTCCTATATAGTCAACTTTGATTGTCATTTATGTGATATTCTACATTTTCTTACTTATGTACATGACTATATGATTCCATTTTCTAATTTATATCACATTCACAAATAAAGGCCCAGAAGAATACCAAATAAAATTGGATTGGCCAACAAGACACAAGATTTGTGTTGGTATTGCTAGAGGTTTGGCATACCTTCATGAAGAATCAAGACTGAAGGTTGTTCATAGGGACATCAAGGCCACTAATGTGTTGCTTGATAAAGATCTCAACCCAAAGATATCAGACTTTGGTTTGGCCAAGCTTGATGAAGAGGACAACACCCATATTAGCACCCGAATAGCTGGCACATAGTGAGTTCCTATATTTCAATTTCTTTTGTGCAAATTTTATCAAGAAATATTTTTTATGTATGATATGATTGGACTATAAAGAAACAAAACTACAGGGACTGACTTACCTAATTGAATTTAGTTTAGCCAACTTATTATGGATTGCAAAAATCTGATATATGATCCTTGCTCTTAGTGGTTTGAATGAAAATATTAATCTCTAATAGAATATAACAACATTCATTGATACATGTAGTTGACTCACATTGTGGAATAAGACTGTTGTTTTTATTGTAGAAAAAAATTGAGGATTTTGCTGGTTTCTAAAGTTAATGTGACTAATAAACTTTTAATTTTTATTATGTAGTGGCTATATGGCTCCGGAATATGCAATGCGTGGTTATTTGACTGACAAAGCAGATGTCTATAGCTTTGGAATTGTTGCCTTGGAAATCATACACGGAAGGAGCAATACCACTCAGAGACAAAAAGAAGAAGCATTTCATCTTCTTGATTGGGTAAGTACTCTCATGCTGAGTTCATGCCAATTGTCTATGAGAATAGTAAACAAAATGTCTCTTTGCAAAAATGTAAAAGTTAGAGAGTCTTTGTGCACCGAGATTTACCTTTTTATTGTTTGGTTTGTATCTTTATAGGCTCCCTTTAGTAAGAGTAACACACTTCAGGATAACCATGTTCATATAAAAAAAATATTTTGTCATCTAAGAGCTTGTTGTTTTTGGAGTTGTTCTTTTCTTTCAGCTTCTAGCATTACAAATATGTCCATTGTCTTAAGAGTGCAAAAATACTCAAACTAGGAGCCAACATTGTAATTGCTTCTTACTTAATTATAAATTTATAACACAAAAAAAGTGCTACCACTGATAGGTTGTTTTGAACTTTGAATTGACTTTGTAATAAAACTGCCTTTTATATTATTCTGTTAACCAGGCACTTCTGTTGAAAGAGAAAGGTAATCTAATGGAGCTAGTTGATAGAAGATTGGGTTCAGACTTAAACAAAGATGAGGTAATGGTGATGATCAACGTGGCTCTCCTATGCACTAATGTGTCTCCTGCACTTAGGCCTACCATGTCTTCAGTGGTAAGCATGCTAGAAGGAAGAAGTGTTGTTCAGGAAGTGGTTTCAGAGCAAAGTGAGGTGTTGGATGGGAAGAAGTTGGAGGCAATGCGACAGTATTACAATGACCAGAGTGTCTCAATGGAGGGGCCATTGACTAGTTCATCTACTTCTGTAACAGATCTCTATCCTGTATCCCTGGGTTCTACATACTGGGAGAACAGAGATTAAAGACTATGGAGTGAAATTGCATTCATTTGTATTAATCATCTTGCCATGAGTTGGTGTGAAATATTAGTTTCTTCCTTATAAATCCATAGGGTACATTTTTTTCCTTACTATAATACATTTTTTATTTATTAAATTGTGAGTAACTTGTATTGATCTCAAGTGTAACAATGTGACTCGAACACATCATTTTTCTTCTAAATTCCCATAAAACATAATAATGGAATGAGCTCACATCTTATAGGAAATTTCAACTCAAAGTAATGCACCAAATCAACTCATAAGTAACGTGAATTCAAACCTAGAGAGTGCGAATTGCAGCTTAGAATAATTACCATTAGATCAACTCTATTTGTTAGTTATAATATTTATAATTTTATATTTATATATATATATATATATATATATATATATATATATATATTTGATTCAAGCGGTTTAACAAGTGACCTATTAGTTGAATTGGTAACTCATTGATTCATTATGCTTACCGAGTAATTAATCGGTCGGAGTTTGATTATTTGATGTATTGTGAACCCACAATGGGCTAAGCTCAAATGGGTCGGGATGGTCAGAATTGAAATCCTGAGCTGTAGGCACCAGCGTCAAAACTTTCATGTATTATATTATTTATTTATTTCACAAAGAAAAATAAAATAGTTGAGCTGGTGCAGTAGTAAACCTGACATTTTCACCTTCACTTGACTGGGATTCAACCAGAAAAAACGACACTGCTGGTGTGGTTGGCTTTATTAGTCTCTTGTTCTTGTCCTGTTCAAGACTTTGAAGTCTTCTGAACCCTTCTCTACTCCAATTTCCTCCTCTTGTGCTTTTGGAGCCACCATTTTGCCACGGGATGAAAGTTGATAGTTATGATAACTCTAAAAACGCTAGTTCCAACTATTGTATACGAGGAATCTCTTGACAACCCTGAAAGAATTATGATTTGTGTACTAGTTTAGTCAACTATTGTCTCAATATACACGGGAAATGAGATTCAGCTTTTCATGCAAGGTTACTATCCAAGTTGTTGAAGGTGTTATCGAAATAATGATTGAAGTTTACAATAAGTTAGGCAGGTGCAGAATTTTAGTGATATTGAACTGATTTCCTCTTGCATTGGAACTAATATATGCTACTCTTCTGTTTTCTCAGGACAAGTGGGGAACAAGAATCACATCAATGATACAATGGCCTAACAAATCATTTTCTTTGGCTCTTGCTTAAGCCTTGGCCTGGAAGAGATCTGGTCTCATTGTGAGGCCAACCATTCAATTCAGGTAAGATGTTACAATTCTTTTCTTATTCCTTTTTTTATTTGAGAAGGGAGGAGTAGGGGTGGTGGTGATGTCATTGTTATAGGGGTCACATAGGTGCTTTTGTATGGAGTTGAATATTGGCAAGCATATAGCCAACATGAACATAATAAAATGGAAGCATCCTCTCGGACCAGCTACTGATCATCGCCTTGGTAAGCTATTGCCTCACCAACTAGCTAATCAGACGCGAATCCTACTTGGGGAGATTTGATTCATTCGGAATTCTAAGTAATTCGACTCATTCATATCCAGATCATGAATGTTCGGAAAAAATGCCTTGAGAAAGGGCATATGTATAGAACCTTTCAACGAGATAGTGCTTTTTCAACTCTCTCAAAATGGAATCTATTCCTAACATATATACCGTGGTTCCTTACTTCGACAGGGTACAAATAGTCTTTTTTTTTCTTCAAATAAAAAACTCATTGGCGCCAAGCGTGAGGGAATGCTAAACGTTTGGTAATTTCTCAGAAATAAGGATGTTAATGATTGGTATTTTGAGAATATGATATGATGAGAATATTTGATAATTTTTTTGAACATAATTAACTTCAATTCATATTCCAGCAATATTTTACAATCAATCAAATTTAGCACCAAGAAAATTAACCCAACATTTCTGTGAATATTTTGGCATATCAAATAACTTTTTAGTAACATTCCCGGGAAACTCACTTTTCCATCATATTCCTGGAAATCGTGATTTTCGAATAATTTTTTTTTTCCTGCTCTATCAAACGCCTCCTTAATGGATTATTTTTGGACAAAAAAATCCATTAGTATTCAATTAGGATTTTAAAAGATGTGAAAAAAAGTCACGTGATATTTGATTAGAATTTTAAAAGATTATTTTAGAGGGCCTTTGGTAGAAGAGAAATTTTTTAGGAAATTACAATTATTAAGAATATGGTGGGAAAGTAAGTTTGCTGGTGTAAAGTTAAAAAAAAGTTTTGTTGAAGGTAAAATATTGATGAAAAATAACCCAATTAATTTTTTAATCTGAATTCAAATAACCCTTCCGTACTACATCTCTTCCTGCAACGTTCATGTTCCCTTCTAATTCATAAAACACTAATCTTTTTTGGTTGACAGTTTTAAAAGGCAACGTAATTGGTGTATTGTTTAAACAATTAATATTTTTATTTTTACCTTTTAAATAAATGGGGATAATATTGTTACTTGTGTTGATTTTAAGATATAAGGGGGCTTCACAATTGTTATGGTCTACCTTTGCCAGAATTTTATCTGATATAGTATCCTGAAATGAGTTTATCAGTAGTGTCGTTTACTGTTAATTTTTCGGTGTGAAATATCAGTAGTGTCGTTTATTCCATAAAAGCATGATCAAAACTGATTCTTGGAAGCAACACTGGCACGCGCATATGCTGCAAGAAAACAACACATTATATTCTTTTAAACCTTTCTTGCCTTGTCAAGGTTAGTTCTTGGCTGCTAGCCAACAAGTTCTGAACAAATCTCATACGAGCCAACAAGTTATGCTTTTAATGTGCTGAAACACTTGCACTATGAACGTGAACGTGACCAATTTAGTAACATCAGCAGAGACCCTTCTGCTTTGAACTTGATTCAGTTGTTTCAATGAGTTTCCAAATAGGTCCGTTGTTGGGACCCGATTAAGGTGAAAAACATTCCCATATTCCAAAGTGAAAGCAGCTAGAGCTATTAGTGCTTTTGCATTCCAGGAGTAACATCTGAGGTGTTGAAGAATCCACAATGTTGTTTGGTGAGCACAATGTACAGCACTACGTGTGGCTATCATCTGTGTCATCGTTGTCTCAATTATTAATTAGCAAGACATAATTTGCTTAAACTTTCATTTACCAATGTAAAATAATAGATCATATAACATATAGTTAAAAAATAACCTGACAAGAGATCAACTTCAGTGTAGAGAATTCTGGTTTGAAACTGGTTATGGGAATTTGTGAATAACTCGGTAAAATAATTAAAAAGTTAGTTGTACTACATAATTAAAAATAAGGGGATCAGTCAATCTTTACCTCCTCCTCAGCTTTGAGAAGGTTAGTTCTTAGAAGGCCCTATACTTTTCAAGTGACGTAACTTTGGCAATAAGTGACAAAACTCTCTGAGTTGATGGCTTTAAGCTACCAAATCCATAATTCAGAAATTGGCCAAATGAGTACAACGCCTAAAGAATAACGGCAAAAGGAAGGAAAGTGGACAAGAGAATGAAGAGAAGTTGGAGGCTGACCAGTTCCACATACTAAGCAACTTCTTACACGACTCATTTTCAGTATTGCTTCCAAAAATGCATACGTAGAATCATCTGTACTAGTAAAAGTTGCCAAAAGAGAGTCAAGTAAATTCTTTTCCCCATGTGTGCATGCAGAGGAAGAATCGACCTTCCCAGAAAAAGCATATTTCTGGGGTCAACATTGACAACCACTAACTAGAACTTGCAAAAGCTGTTACCATTTCATGAGCGAAGGTAAGGCACCCGGATATATTTCGCAGAATATACTTGTTCTTACAGACGTTGAGTTTTTACCCGGGTAAGGCACCCGGATACTAGGGTATCCAGTTATTTACCAGGGTAGAGAGGGGGATACCTGTGTATTTGTCGGCCAGAAACTCCAATATCAGTGGATTTCGGCCATTGTTATAGGTTATATGTTTTTTTTTTCTCCTAAATTTCTCTCCTTTGTCATCTCTTTCTGAACCATCATACATGTATTTCATCCTATTATCTCAAAAAGCGTAATCTTGGGAGGACATTGGCATTACACCTCCATATTCCCATTTTTCCTAAAAAATCCGAACCAAAACCCTAGACTCAATTTTCTTGCGAAAGATGATTTCAAGTCCAAACATGTTTCCTGTAGTTATTTACTACAATGGGAGGCATTTTGAAGGTCCCAACGGTGTCCGATTTGAAGGAAAAACAAAAATGATGAAAATCAAAGTGGGTGATGCTCAACGGCAAGTGTACCGATCGCACAAGAAATATAGTGAGTAAGTAAAGTATCGTCTCCACAGGGATTGTAAAGAAAATACCAGAGTAACCTGTCCCCTTAAGTTGGAAAATCTGGTTGTTTTCGAAAATGGTGAATTGATAGTGAAATAAAGACAAAAAATTAAAATGTAATTCTTAATTTTCTAGCAATGGTAAAGTTTGGATTTTTGAGAGAATAATAATGAGTAAACATTGCAGCTAAGGTGCACGCACCATATGATCCCCACTTTAAACTCTGGATTAATTAACAATGCTCATTTATTTTAATAACTCAAACAATTTATCATCTAGAAATAATTAGTTAAATCCCAATTCATTGGTAATCTAACTCTTTAATCCAATTGAAACCCTAATTCCTTAGCAGTCCCGCATGAAATTAAGCATTAACCACGATAAATTAAACGACTGCAATTCACACAAGTCTATTCCTAGAGCATGCATCAATTGTTACTTTACCCCCTTTCAGAATCAAAACCCCAATATTCATATTGCGAGCCCTAATTTCCAAATTATTATCTCCTATTAGGTTGATCAAGTCTAACAGAAATAATAAACAATACGCACAGGGTAAAAATAAAATATATTAAAATAAACGAGCGAAAATAAATCAATTCATCGTGAAAAGGGTTCACATAGGGTTTGTGACCTTAACTACAATAAGAGAAATCAGCTAGCCATAGGCATAACTGACATACAATTATAAAAGAGAAAAGAAAAGAAAATTACGATGATAACTAAGAACGATGATCTGCTCCCTTGATGTACTTTGTGCCTTTCTGTCGTAATCCCCATTTTCTTTCCTCTCTACGTCCTTTTAACGTCTT